TTCTGCTGAAAACCGAAAACGGGTTGTTGTTCTGCGTCAGAGAAATAAATCGACGTTAACCACATGGATGAGTTGGCTCAATTTGTAACCATCCATAAAATTAAAAACGAGGCGTTCATTTTGAAAATATGTATGCCTTCTGTTGCCAGCCACCACGTTTACACATATCTTTCTATCCATGCATCTTTGTGCTCCTTACAATATTTGGAAATGCACAAATGAGCATATTTTTTGCACGGTTTCATGAACATATGTACGTGCCACATATATTTCCTCGTGGTGAAATACAGTAAGTGTACAACAGGTAAAAATGCAGCTAGTTGTTTTCAGCAATTGTTCGGCTTGATGTTTGGTGGGAATTTGGCTGTGAGAAATTCACTTTCTATTTTAAACTAAAGTGACATTTTATTACACCTTGATTGTTATGGCACGAAATGAGATTTGACGATAGGATTTGATCATTGAATGAAATCGCGTGATTCTATGAAGCACTTTGCATGGAAGTTGGTTTTATTTAGCTTCAAACCAGGACTCGTGACGCTCTTGCATGACACGAGGGGACCCTTCTTAGCTAAACTTGACTTTCAGCCTAAATAAGGGCACCCGTACCCCAATCCAGTTCTTGCCCGATGCATGAGTGCTCGCACACTCACCGCTGCCAATAATGCCCGGATTGGTCCTTTTTCCCATCGTTTCGTTGACTTCCTTCCTTCCTTCCTTTCCAAAAGCCACTCTTGCATGCAACACATCATTCCGTGCAAGCAATGAATTGAATAATCCAATACAAAATTTATGGACCTACGACGAGAATAAGTAAAATATCAACCAAATCAAAAGTGACTTCATACTAAATATACCGGAAGTGCAGTTGGATTCCTGGGAACCAAACCTAAAGAGTAGTAGATATTATTGGACAAAAGGATTTCTTTACAATATTCCAGACGAATTTATGACTATGTTCAGATAAATGTGTATATGTCTCAGGGTCCAGTGACAATTATTATTTATCACTTTGTTATAATTCAAATAAAACTACAAGCATTTCATGTAATGAGTATATAAATATGCAAAACTAGCTAATTTCCTTGGTTGTAGACATAGCGGCGGCACTAAGGACCAGATGAAGGAGAAAGCTAAAAACCACAAAAACTATATTTGTACAGTGACATAGAACAACACAATTTAAATTCAAAATCTTATTCCATTTTTAGACGCATACTAATGTGCATATATACAGTTTCATAGAACAGTCTGAAATAAAAAGTGGGGAAAGTCGATCTCACAACAATCATTATCCAAGAGCTATTACTTATGAACCATTAGTTCCTGCTTTGTATCTGGAAATATACACGATAAACGCAACAGCACAGCAATATCTGTTGAAGAGTCCCCCACGCATCGACTACTTGAACGAGTCGTCACGTGTCGGTGGTGTCATCCAAACCTCGTCCCCTCGCACCACCACCACTGCGCGATTACCAAAACAAATCAACCATTAAGTTCAGCAGCAGGGTCGTGGGTACACAGACCCAGTCAGTAATTAAAAAATAGGTAAATTTAGAAGTTGCGTGGCTAGAGTGGTTCCTTACGTATAAACAGTTTTAAGCGAAAGCAGCTCTCAATTCCACGTTTCCCATCTCCAATGTTCACTAACTGTAACTCAAATCAAATCATGATCAATTGAACGAACGCGCAATGCCCTTAAATCTTCATTACTTGATATGGAACATGAAAGCACTTGAGTTTTTTTTTATATCGCAAATGTATTTAATGTATTCGCATATAATTTTTACATAAAAAACAATCTCAAATACTATATGTATTTTTCATCGTGAAAGTTAATCACTGTTATATTACAGATAATTGTACGTACACGGAAAGTGGTTGACTTTTTGCCTTCTCGGTCGGATATTTGATAAGTTACGAGTTCCTTGGTTCAGAAATCAAGCTGTGCCCTTTATCCCGCGGCTGACTCGAACCAAGCTGATTGACATGAAAAACAAGAACAAAAGGTCTCCCGTCGTGAAGAACGTTCCCTCCCGATAACTTTTCCTTTCGAGGCTAGATATATGTTTATGCATGCATGTAGATATGTGAGTACTTTACCCACATTAAATAAGCAGCGAATCCATTAAAACTGATTAACAATTGACGAAGTTACTGGAAATGGAGAAACCCAAATTCAATTGTTTGATCAACAACTTGATAATTAACAGGATGGAAAAAATGGAATTATATTTTTCAGCAGAAAAGCCTCGAAAGAAGGAGTCCACTCATTCAATCAATTATTTTCGTACGATTTCTATAATTATTCGAAATCCGTGGAAAACAGTTGGAATTAAATTGGATGAATGTACAAATATATAACATTTCTACGAAATTTTGTTATGTGTGTATCTGAAAACCAAATTTCAGCACAATCCGACAATTCTAAACATAATCGGTAGTGATCATCCTATTTGCTTTTAAAATGTCAAATTTCATCTCCCTACGAGGATTTCCAAAAAGTTAATTTAATCAAATCAGGTTATGAAACCAGTTTGTGATCGATTTTGAAAAAGACCAAGTCAAATTTGATACTGCTGCACACAATTTTATGTGAATTTAAATGGTTGGTATTTTAATCTCTTACAGTTATTTTTTAATACTTTTTAGTTCGCCAAATATGTAACATAATCTCTCACCCAAAAATACATGCCTGATTTCTCCTTTAATCGGCCACCAGTTGGTTCGTTGATTGGTCATTCATGTGTTTCAAAAACAACCAACAGGACCGAAATTCGGTCGGAACGCATCATGTTGTTGTGCTCACCCTGAAAAAGAGGGTGATCAGGATGAAAGAAAGGTGAACGCTGTGTGTGACGTGAAATACGAGGCTTGTGGGGCACCGGGCCACAGCTCAACTATTATGCAATGTGCAAGTGACTTACTTTTCTCTCCATTCAGGTAAAAGGACGACGACGACGACGCTGTTGTTCTGTGTTGTCGACCTGGTTGTTGGTTACGTGGATGGATATCCTACCAAATCATGTCCATACATTGTGGCAGTTGTTCCTCGTGCTGCATGCACATTGCGTCACAAAAAATGGATTAGCATCACAATCCACACAAACCCAAGGGAGTCCGATTCAATGAGGGTAAATAATAAAGGGTATGAGCATAATGTGTATATTTCTGCTGTTGCTGCAGACCCACTCATCATAACTGTCCTTACAAAGCTTATTTCTCTCTCGGATGAATGGCATGGGCACGGGAAAAGGTGCAATTCTTGCAGGTACGTATGATTCGTTTTTAGCTAGCAAATTCAACATGGTGAAAAATATTGGGGTACGATATCAACAATATTGATTTGGGGCAACTGTAGATGTGCGTTAAAATAGGGATAGGGAATTTATAAAGGCACATTGTGCATGCCAACTTTTCAGGGAAAGTATTATGTAGTAAAAGTTTAGAGCATACATATTTTCAATTAATTATACGATTATTCCGGACGAAGAACAAAGTGACGCGACTGCTGTCACTGATTACCAATTTGGAGTGAAATCATCATACATATCTCTGAAATTTGATAGCAAGTCTCCGCTGACAAACAATATATCCCTCTCAGATTCCGATACGAAATGTGCTCTCTAAAACCAAACGCTTATTTCGGTTCATAATACTCAACTGCATAGATTGAAGAGCCAAGTATTTGTTCATCTGAAGCATCTGAAGCTGCTCTCTGCTCCTGTTTTGTTGTTAGAATGCAAATCGCTCTCGTTTGGAAAAAGTGATCTCAATTCTCATCTGTCGTCCCCGGTCGTCGTCGTCGTCGTCAGTCTTTTCATTAAACAAGGGTTGATTTTTACGTGCACTACCTGGTTCATTCGGCAGCATGCGACATGAGACAAAGCAGCACAGGTTGGGTTAGGTTTTTGTGTCTGTTGCCTGCCTTTTATTCGGCTTTATTTAATTCAGCACACCTGGTTCTTCCCTCGTGCTGCTACTCGTACGTACGTAGCAGTGCAGTACTGCTACCCTCCGAAAACCCAACCTCACAACAGGAGAGAATGGAAGGGTGAATCCTTATGATTTCGAGGTGACGCTGGATAGCGGGTGACGAATTCCACGTAAATACATACATATTTCTCTAAAAACTTGAGCAGATTTCCGGGAATGTTGATAAATTTGTATGTATTTACACATATATCCAATGAACATAGCGAGATACTAAATAATAATAAATACATACGTAGAAAAGTTATTAGCCTAATTAATTACAACCCAGCAAAGGTTTGTAATACTGCTTGTTGACCATCCACAGATTACTAAATATATTTATGATTTTGACATTGACATGAATTCATAAATACACAACGCTGTCACATTGATGATGATACATAAATATTCGCCCTTTCTGTTAGATACGCAAAATGATAATTATTCTCGAGTGGATTTCACAGATTTCTTTGAAACAGGAATTCTAGATTTGGATTTGGCCCTTAATTGGACTTTGAGCGACATTTCGACATCTATTCAAAGTCAGAAGGGCAGACGGACAGTGGCACAACGCTGCTGGGAGCAATTAGCTGATTGCATGTCGCAACTCGAGGAGTGTTACTCACCTAAAAGCAGATGCATAGTTGATGCATTTATTCTTGCTGACCATCACCATTTTCAGACTATAGAGTCCAGCTAAAAGTAGCAATTCGTATCTTACACGCAGATAATCTTGGCTTTCTCCAAGTCCTCCTGCAACAAGCTAAACGAAATCAGCGTTGGAAGGGGGCATTGCTGTCATACGGGGGAAAACTCGGAGTATTTTCCTCTTTGCGGACCTGAGAGGGCAGAGGAATTTGTTGCTGGTGTGATGCGATGCGGCCACTGCTGCTGGTGAAAGGATTCCTCGGGTGGTGGGGATGCCACAGGAACCTGCGCGAGCAACAGCCAGCCAGGGCTACCGGGTCTTCGACAGTGGCAGTAATGATATCGGGTATGAAAAGTGGAGCTTAGTTTCGGCCAAACTTATTCTCTCCAGCCAGAGTCTCCAGAGCAGCAGTCCCTTCTCCACCACCATCAACGGAGGACCATCCACCCTTCCTTCTCCCGTAATGTCACTTCTTACCACTCACTCACCCAGCCGAGTAATACCTGTCCCGTCTCACCCCACTCTCTCCTCGGTCCTACTCTCCCCTCTGGGGTCGTCTCACGCCAGGCCCAACTACGAGTCATAAGTTCGCCGAAATTACATTACCCCAAAAAGTTCGTTTTTTAAGGGAACAATAACAGTAAAAAATTATTACCACGACGAGATACACTATCCGAGTCATTTAATTAGCGACAACGAAAGCAATAAAGCAATTACAGAGAACGACAGCAATAAACAAAATTATTTATAAAAAGTCATAAAATAAATTAGCATTAAGATATAACGACACTTATTACACTTAACTTCTTGTCAGCAATAAGCAACACATAAATACACCACACACACTTATACACTCAGCAATAAGCGCAATTTCCACGCAATATTTGTGATCAGTATGAAATTATCTATGATTCTGGTGGAAAACAATGAATTAGTCTTAAACTGTGAATATGTCCGAGATAAGATAGATTAGCTCTGTACAAGGATTGAAAATACGTGCCCAGTAAACTGAGAGGATGAAGTGAGTCTCACCTCCTTTCACTCGTTATGTTTGGTCATGTACTGTAAAATGTGAGCGTGTTTGAGAACTCGAGACAAAATGTGAAAACCTTTTCCCTCAACTTTTTACCCCCTTCAGTTCATTCTGTTTAATTAACACACGACCACACTTCTCCATTTTGCAACTTGTTGTCATCCATCAATCTATACGTAACGTTCACCTCCCAATATTTCTCCCACCAAACCGAATCTAGTTACCTTTGGTTATAGTCAATCGCATTCTAAACATTCCACACTTTTTCCTAGTCAGGATAATAATAAAACTAAGCAATTCAGTCAACATGCCACGTTGTCTCATGGCAAAAAAGTGGAAGTCTCTCGCGTATGAAAAGTCACAGTCGGAAGAAGCTGCAAATCTCAACAACAACAACAACCATTACCACCATGTCCCCAAGAAACTCAAATTTTGCCATGCCCACATTGACAGTGAGCAGAATAATAACAATACGACGACGGTGGCGAACAACAACAACAGCTCCTCCTCGTCCGTGATCATCAAGGGGAAGAAGGTGGGCAGGGATTGTACGTGGGGACCTGCGAGCCCCACCGAAGGGACAACTGCACCCTCGCCACCTCCCGCGCCCGCATGGCTACCCGCGCCCACAGCGGGCAAGGTCACAGTTCTCTTCAACGGTAAGTCCTCCTTCTCACTTCCTTTCTCCATTGTGAGTTTTTGCTTGTGAAACTTGAGACGGGATGGAGTTGGGGAAAGTTGCAATAAATAAGCACTTGATTTGATCGCCCATGGTGGTGGTGGTGGTGGTGGTGATGGTGGCGAGATCCGTAGTGGGGGGTAATTGGTCTCTGTCGGCAAATCTTGGTCGACTTTTCTCTATACATCAAAGGAATGCTTCTGCTAATTACCCCTCTACCACCACCACACCCACTATCCATCCATCCACTCCTTTGATCTCAGCCACTAATGAGCACTAAACTAAACTCGGTAAAGCAAACTCACTCTAAACTATTAAACAAAGCAACAAACATCCTATAGAGAGGGGTTGTTCAGCTATTCCGATGATGATGAGGCGAAAAGCAAGTCCTCCGCGAGGACACGAAGAGTACGGGAAACTAGAAGGAGCACTTGCCATGAGCTGTCAAGCATTTCAAAAACACAAACTGCATGAATTCCCCAATGACGCAATGAAATCTCAAGTGAAGGAGAACCTCTCTTTCTCTCTCTCTCCAGAAAGTTTTATAGTTTGTGACTTATTGCATCTTGTGGCTTTGGTGAAGCAGTCATTAAAAAAGCTGTTGCTCATTACCACCACTGCTACTACGCAGACCGACCAACCAACCGAGTAGTGCTATCAAATCAAAACCACGGCTGTTGCTCCCTTTCCTCCATACGTAGCCTGCCTTCATTACGACTCGGCTGGTAGAACTATAGTGCCAGCCTCTTCATTTTTTGAAAGGGACCACTTCACCAAACTTTCTCTTGTTCAGGAGAATTGTAAAACTAGAGGGAAAAAAGTTGGAAATCCCAAAATCCTTGTTAACTCTTTCTTTCCCCTTTGGATTCCCATGCATGCATGTAGTCGTAGTCCTGTTGCTTCATCATTCTGGCTCCGTCTCGTCCTCCTCCGTCGTCGTCTTCTTCTTGTTCATCTCATCTCATCTTGTTTGAGAGCCGCAGTAAAATTTAAATTTGGAAATGAAGCCCTTTCTCTTGGAGAAAGTGTGGAATTATTCAAATCAAATGTGATCCGTTTTACGACTCTTTTTCCTCCGGCTTCAGCTGGGCCCTGCTCTCATCCTGTCGCCTTTTACGAGGAACTTGTTACCTCCTTACTTTTATGTGGGTGGAAATTAGGAGAGAAATTTCCTCCGTTGAGATGATATGATTTCTGCCGTCGCTCTCTTTCTCTGGGTGAGATGGAAGTAGTGATGGGGGAGCAGGGAAGGTTATTTTATTGGGACGCTGCCAGAACGGATGGTTTCGTGTGGAGAAATGCCAACACAGCAAAAGAGAGTCAAGTTTAATAAGAGCAACGACGAGAGAGAAAGAAAGCGGCGAGGGAGAGACAATGATGGGACCAGGCGGAGGCAACTCGATACACCGTTATGGCGTCAGATAAGGAAAAGATGGAACGACGGGATAAGAGAAAGACGACCTTTCTTACATAACTGCCCGTCTTCCAGGCAACGGAACGAGAGGTGTAGTCATCTGTTGCAGTCGTATGGTGACAATTTCCACCAGATTTCCCTCCACTTGAAAAAATTTCCAAAAAAAATCATCACCATCACTCACATGCATTTCCTTTCGATGGTAATCATTCAAATTTCAGTGATTTCTCCCTAATTACACCAAACCAACTGGCACAATAGTAATTAGTGTGATGAGCATACATCTATTGTGCTCTGCTGGTTGTACGTACGTAAGTCCGACTATATGTACATGGGTGCTATTAATACATGTGTGTGGCTGAGCAGCTTTCACTCTGGCGAGTGCATTAAAATGTCAGAGTCATTGTCTCTAGGAAATGAGTTGGATTGGAGTAATTTCACTCCATCAATTAGTTCGTGGTGGCAGTGGTGTCTAGCTAAAAAGTCAAAGTGAAGCTTTTGTTTCTCTTCTTCCTCATGTGCAAGGAGAGGTCGGGAATGGATTTCAAGTCGTACGTACGTGGTCTATAGGTCCGCCTAATTTGGAGTCTGGGCTTGATTATTGTATGCAAAGTGGAATGAAAACATGGAATGATAAATGAAACTCGTATCCATCCATCTATGCTCCCTCTCTCTCGCCTTTCTTACCAGCAGCCAGCGCGGACTACTGCAATACCCGGGTGGGGTTGGCAGGCAGGTCACTCCGACAAGAGAGAGAGAAGGAAATTGTTCCATTGAATCAGTTGGATTCGTATCAGTCGGGGCATGACACTTAATTTCTCCGAGTCTGAGCTGAAATGCGATAATGAGTCCAGCAGTCACTGTGTTCTTCTTCTTCCTGTCCCCTTCTCACAATCAGAGACTTCCAGGAGCACAGTTTAATCGATTACTCTCTCAGAATATAAAAACCAGAAATCTCACTGAAAAAAGAAAGAAAAAGAAATCGTCATGAATGGCATTTCTAGAAATTTTACAAACTTTCTCCTCCGCCACCACCACCATCCAGCCATCCGTCCTCTCTTATTCTGCAACAAATTAAATTAATTCTCTGTTACACAATAATATTTTGGTTGGTTCTTTTTATATCATTTCATTTCTTCACTTCCTGGCTGCTCTCCAAACCAAGTTTCTTTTTCTCTAAAAAACTTTGATTCTTTCTGTTTGGGGGGGTGGAGATTTCCTTACTTACAGTTTCCTCCTTCGTCTCTCTCCGTGTCAGACGCAAGGCCAAAGTTGGTGATTTGTGGGCCAAATTTTTGACTGAGGAAATCATAAAAAGAGCAATTTGGTCGGAGGCTCCCTCGCATTGCTTCACAACCACCACGAGCTCTACGACTCTGCCACCAAGATTGGGACAAAAGAGAGAGAGAGTCAATTGCGTTATGGAGTACAGAAAAGAGAGTAATGTAAAAGCACTGCCACTGCTGCTGCTGTGTATGATGCCGGCCACTGCACAAATTGCATTTATTTCCTTAAACATTACGAAACTGCACCTGTGACACGGGCGCACTTGGTTCACTCACCAACTTTATTTCGTTTTTTACCGAGGCAAACATAAATCCTGACAATTTTTCAGCCTGGGCAATTTTGGACAGATTTTGCCGATTCACGAGGAACTCGAAACATAATTTTTTTGTAGTGACGAATAAAACTGTATTGCATACGGGCTACTACACACACGTTTTTGGATTGGTTTTTGTCGTCCCTCTGGAGAAAGCAACAAATGGTGGTGGTGGTGGTGGTGATGGCAGAATAGTTCAACAGGGTGCAGGGAGAAAGGGAAAGAAAGTGCCGAGTGTGATGGTGGTGGGGGGACATTAGGCTCGCTTTAATGGCTTTGCGGAGGGCCATTACATTACAAGAGCAGCAGCAGCAGACAACCAAAAAGCAGGCAAAGAAGGATGGAAGCAAGTAAACTCTCTTGGCGACGCTCATCATCATCTTCTTCCGCACAAAAGTCAGCCAGTCCTTCCACCAACCAGTCATTGATGCTTGCCTCTTCTTCTTCTTCCTACTTATATAGCACCCACGGATAAGTAAGCAAGAAATGGGTTCGAGTTGGAAAAAAATATCTTGGCATAAATTGGTTCGTCATAGGATCATCATCATCAGCATCATCTTGATGGCTTGATGACGATGCGGAGCAGGTTAAAGAAGAAGACGACGACGAAATGACATGGCTGTCCTGATTTCATCCAACACAATCATCTCGTCTGATTGCACCAGTTGAACATTCATGTGTGTGATGCTTCTCATGACAGAGCATCCACCCAGCTAGATTCTAATCTCCCAAGAGATTGACTTTCTTCCCACCACCAGACAACCGACCAGCCAGAGAGATAGAAAGAGTAATAATGAAATGAGGAAGGCAACAGTTTGGTTGAATGCACCTCCGCATCAACAGACTCGCAGGCAGTATGTAGTAGGAGCGCATCACATCCCATTATAGTTTTCACAGTGTGGCTAATTACCCGAGGAAATGGTGCAGTGCAGGCATTCCATGTCATCAACCAGTCAGCCAGGCTATGCCAAAGGCAGGGAGAGAAGTTAGGCAGCCGTGGTGGTGGTGGTCTGGTGTCATCATCATCAGGCAACCAGAGAGAAAGCAGCAGCAGTTAGTACGCATTTACTGGGTTGAAGAAGAGAAAGTCAGCATTCGCTTCATGCACTTTTGTGTTTGGATGCGTGATGTTATCTACAATTTCTTGCTCCATTGTTCTCACCCTCTTTTGTGTGATGAGCTGCTTAAAAACGGAGGAAAACATTGACTCTTTTTCAACACACAAAAGATGTACAGATTTGGGTAGAAAGCGGAGAATAAAGCGAGGGAGCAAAACATGGCAGAAAAATGGCTTCTTTCTTTCTTAAACTCCGCGACAATTTTTCTTCCTCATGCATAATTTCTGAGAAAATACATGCATACTTCACAAGAAAGGAGAGAAATGCGAGAAGGTGGTGCAATACAGGGTGCAAAAGCGGTTCAGCAGGTTAGGCTTTTGGTGGTGTTGAGCCGAGTTGGTAGATTGGATTGCGTTGGAGACAATCGGCCCCAACGGATCAATTTGAAGAAGCAACAGTGCCACCCTCAATTTATGTTGATTGTTCATTCATTCATCCTCATGTTGATGGGAATGAGCAAACCATCAATTCCTTTCACTGCTTCTGCTTCCACCCAGAAGTATCTAGCACCGCCATGTCCACTACCATGAATACTGATGACTAAACAAAATAAACTCAAGTTGGGTCATAATTTCCAAGACGGGAATGAACGATGACGACGACAACGCAGCGATCAACAGTTGTTGCAAATGTTGTCGCTTGCCTGGCGTAAATAAATTCATTTAATTTTGTTCCTCCGTTTGATGCAGGCTATCTGCAGGATTCTCCACCACCCTCGAACTCATCCTGCTCTTCCCATGACGACCAAGATCGCAACACATCGTCCCCCACGCACCACGTCATTGTGTCTTCAGCAGAGGGATCGTCCACGCCCCCGACAAGGCACACGTCTGTAATTCGCAGTGCACCCCGGTCATCATCGGGGACGACCATCACCATCCCGCAGTATTCTTACCCACCTACCCCAACCACACCCACGTCTCGGTTTCACCACAACTACCCAGAAGGTTGTATTCCACCTCCGAAGAAGAGAGAGTTGTACAGGTACGTGACGATTCCTTGTGTATGCTTATTATGACCTGACTCGTACATATGTACATACATTCAGCATGCAAGTTGTCATGAAATTATGCGCCTCCTACGTTGTGTTTATTTCTTACACAAATATGCATTTTGCAAAATCCCTCAAGTTTTTCTCTTTCTTCTGGTTTTCCATAATATGGTTTCGTATTCTCGAAATTGTCTTTGCTTATTTACATTAGATGGAAATATCTCCCTTTCAGACCATACTGCCTACCAGAATCCATTGAAGCCGTGGCACAAGAGAAGAGACGCTTGCAAAACGTGTGCTCTTCCCTCTTTGAAAGAAAACCTGAAGATCTTACAACTGCCCATGCTATTCTCGACTTGTCCACTTCGCATCTCAATTTGCCACCCCCACCACCTCTAATCTCTGCCCCAGCAGCTCCCTGTCACCCAAGTCATCAAGCCCAACCACCACCACTGATTCATTCCACTTCCCCACCAACCACCACCACCATCATCACCACACCCACAGCCACCAATCATGGTGCCGGTAATAATAGTAATAACAACAATTCCTCGTCTGAGCAAAACCTCAACTTTCCACTCGCCACAGTGGACACGAACAAACAGGGGAAAGGAACGAAAAATAGCAAATCCGACAAGAAAAAGGCTGCCAACAAGAAGGAGAGCAAATCTGCTGCTGGGTCTGCGACCACCATCACCACAGCCTCATCTTCCACCAACACCCCCACACCCACAGCCACGAAAACTATTGCCTACACGTACGAAGCGTTCTTTATCTCGGACGGAAGGTCCAAGAAGAAACAACAGCAACAACAACAGCTAAACAACGCCAATCCTCCTGGCAGCTCGTCAGCATCGGCAACCTCGTCGTCCTCGTCCCCAAAGGAAAACGCCAGCTTATCCCCAGCAACTCCTGTGAAGTTGAACGGCAGTCGCACTAACAGCGCCAACAACAACAACAACGCCGACCTGTGCTCGGACTCGGAAGGGGACACGTTGTCCCTCTCTTCGGGTGTGAGTGGGGGTGTCCACTCGTCATCTCCAGGGGATGAAATCGGACTACTTGGTCCCAAGGAAAAGTCACGCTACACGTGCTCGGATTGTGGCAAAAACTATGCGACATCCTCCAACCTTTCTCGTCACAAACAAACCCATCGTTCCCTCGACTCACAAGCAGCAAAAAGGTACCAAGTTTTATTTTAGATCAAGTTCATCTATTTTAGCTTTTTTATTACAACATAAGCTATATGCATACATGTGGAATACCATTTATTCCATGCAATTGATTGATTTCGCGAGATTAAGTATGCTTGCGTAGGCTGGTAGGAAAAATATAATTTCGCAAGGTTATTCCATTTATTGCACAATTTTTGTCACTACGTGAAACGACTGAACTGCATTTCTAGGTGTCCGACGTGTGGAAAGGCGTACGTAAGCATGCCTGCCTTGGCCATGCACATTCTCACCCACAATCTTAATCATAAGTGTGATGTGTGCGGAAAATCCTTCTCCAGACCGTGGTTGCTACAGGTGGGTTGGTTGAGTTTGGTTCCATAGTCATCATAAATTAATTGGATATTGATTTCGTATTTCTTCTTCTCCTTTCCAGGGTCATATGCGGAGTCACACGGGGGAAAAGCCCTACGGCTGCGCCCACTGTGGAAAGGGTGAGCAGTTGCACTTGTCTTTTTATTTTAATTATTATCGTCCAATTACACTTTGTACTAATGTTCATTACTCTGTAGCCTTTGCGGATCGCTCCAACCTCCGCGCTCACATGCAGGTGGGTGGTGCATATTTGTATAGATTTCCTCGTCTCGTACAGTTTCATACGTGACCATAACAATATACGTTTTCATATAGACACACTCTGCCGCAAAGAACTACGAGTGCAAGCGATGTCACAAATCATTCGCGCTGAAATCATACCTGAACAAACATTACGACTCTGCCTGTTTCAAAGAAGAGGTTCGAAATCTTTTGTACTTTTTTCCAAACTAAAGCCATACCTAGACTCATAGCGATACTAGAAATATGTTGCCATGTCTTCGAATGAGACGTTCTGGCCGATAATAAATACCTATTTTTTCTTCATTTCTATCGTGCCGTAGATTGAGGAAGGAGAGGTGGCCACTTTCCACTGTGACAGTGACATGGAGGACGACGACGATGACACCCGGATCAACATTGATGACGACGAAGATGACGAGGAGAACGAGACTGGGGAAGGAATAAGAGAATGCAGTATTGCTCCGGAACCTGAGGTGGAGGTGGAGGTGGAAATGACCAGCTAAACAACGTTTGTCGGCAAGAGATGGGGATTACATATACGTAGCGTTCCTTTAGCGGTGGTGGGTGTGGTCTCCTGCTGCACTTGACTTGAATCCCTCTCTCTCTCTCTCTCTGCCCCTCTCACTCACTCCCTCACACATCCAACTACGAGTGGGAATGAACATCAAAACTTTGTCCCGACAGCAACTTTATTACTTTCACTTTAGTCAACTTTACCAACTTTCTTCTATTCAGGAAGATTACATTACTCAATCTGAGAGGTCGGCTGGCGAATCGGCGGTGTAGCTGTACTCGATTGATGCAGCAAACCAACCGACTTGGCTAAACCTTAGCTGATGACGATGATGAAGCAACAACTATTCCAACGTGAGTCAACTCTCTGCTTCACTTATTGATCCATTTTATGTAAGCCGTATGTACATAGACACACATTATACGTACGTATGTACATGCATACCGGTGTGTATCCTCAAATAATATCGAATCGACTCACCCGCATCCCAACCAATTCACACCATTATTCATTCTCCGGCTCTACTTTTTGATTGCTCATTATTATGCAAATATATTAGGCCAAACATACTGTTGGAATTGTGCATGTCTTACGATTTTTAAAATGCAGTGAATTTATATAATTTTACAAACCCTCGCTCCCCCTCCACTCATCCCTAATGAACAATCCCACAATCACAAAAATCCACTCGAATATAATCATGCTGACAAGACAAATCAGGGCTTTGCTTAGTGGAGTGCTCTCTCTCTGCTTTCTACCTCCGTCGCTGGTGAAGTGAGCGAGTGGAGGACCCTTGTCTCTTCCTCACCACTCGGTGCTGACTCCACCAAATAATCCTTCGTTCCCTTCCCCCCTCTCTCCTCCTCCTCCGCTCATTAGTTTAGTTTAGTTTTTCCACTTACTGCACCCACACACGAGGCCGAGAAGGAAAGAAATCGATCCGATCCCATTCAATCGGAAGGTGCGGTGGCTTGGTTGATTTCGCCTTTTGCACTTGGAAACGAGAGGAGGATGACAACAAGTAGTCGGTGCAACTTAAAGTGCAATCCATCACAATCAGCATTTCACATCGGCGGATCCATAAAAGACAGAGGAGCGAAGGGGTTAGATTTTGTGATATGTTTGCATCTTCTATCACTACTGATTTTATAAGATTTGATGATGATGCTGATCCCGCAAAGAGATGAAGGTCTCCCCCGGGACGGGAGCTTATCGACAAGGTTGCAGAGTGGGAGGAGGTGGTGGTGGCATTCTGGTGTAATAAGAAGGGATTAGTTGGTTCGCAGAGAAGAATAGCAGGAAGATCGGATCAGGGTCCCTTAATCTCCTCCATACTTGACAGTACTCTCTCTCTCTCCCGTATATCTCGTGTGTGTGTGTGTGTGGCTGCTGTGCTTTCTCCCACACTCGTTACCCATTCATGTCGAGCACTCCCAAAACTTTTCTCGGCTTCATCAACTATTCTGCATTTTCCCCAATTTTTAACATTCTTCTTGAAATAGTTTGAATTTTAGAAAAAAGACTAGAAAAATCGATGACTTCAAAAAAATAAAGAGTTCAACTTCAATTGAGACATTTAGTGGGAAAACTTGCCAGCATTCTCTTGCCAATTTCTTTCTCTGAAATAAACTTGGTGGTTTCGTACTTTTGGTAACCTCACCATTTTTAAGACATTAATACTCCTCAAAACGTCCTTCTTATTTTCTTATCACACTCCGCGATAGGCTCGTTTCCACGTCGGCTTTCTTTTACTTTCCTGCTATGTTCTCACAAAAAACTGCTGCGTTTTGCATTTTTTTCTGCGTCACAAATCATTGCTTGGTCGTTGTACAGGCTGCTTCCTCGGCGTCCTCTTTTCTGTATCGGTTGGTCCTCGTCCTTCGAGATCAAAGTTATTGCGGGGATTGGGAAAGTTGACGGGGTGAAAGGGGGAAGATTTATAACCTTTCACAGTCCAGAAGACAGCGACACCCGCTTAAAAATTGCCAGGCTCTCCTTTAACAAGATTTTAAGGCAGAGGGAGCGAGGTCTATCCACATATTATCAGGCCGCCCCGTCCCCACGGAGAGGAAAGGTAGATGTTGTGAAAAAGTGGAATCTTGAGAGATAGAGACCTGTGGATCAACAACGGAGACTTGTTCCACCAACAGCTAGTTAGTTAGTTAGCAGACGCCGTCGTGATAGGGGATGGATAGTTAGTTTACTTCTTTCGGAGCAAATTGGTCTCTGTGGGCTCACTCTAGCACTCCTCAAGTGTTTGCCGAGACCAAATAAATAGAGAGAGGGACAGAGAGTAATGAGATGTGAGCAAACAGCCGCATCAAACGAAGAGCCAGCCAAGGAATGGAGCACAGAAAGAAAGCGAGACGAAGGTGAATCTGCCAAAACTCGTCCATTTCTCTCTCTCTCGCTTTCTCTCTCTCTCTGCTTATGCAACAAGGAAGGACGCAACTGGTTTCTCACGACGGGCTTGAAATTTTTTAGAAATTTTTACTTCCACTTCATTTCCCACTTTTACATGTGTGTGGAAAAATCACTTTTGCCGTGCCATCCTTCCTTCCTCTTTTTAATTTTGTACCTTCTACAGGTTTCTAATGTATCGATTTCTGGGAACAAACTGGTGGGTTGCATGCTTACAGGTGAAAGTCAAACAATTTGTGGAAATGGGGCTGGTTTTGCTTTTTGATATTAAAAGGACACGAATCCTTCTAATCTATAGTGGAACGTTGCATTGTGTGCTATTCATTCCTCCCTGTGAAAAACATGAAGACTTATAATAGCTCCATGGCCAACCAGCCCAAGTGAACATTTCCTTTTTATTATTGTATCCATTTCTTTCCACATACCTCCTCCTGCCACTAATGCCTCCATCCCGACCCACCTACCTGCATCGGCTTGACAAGGCAAGGCAAAAATGATTAGACTAATCCACCGGCTTGTTGGTATGTGCTCATAGGCTCATATTTGCCCTCCATGTACATCATCAGCAGCCCTGTAAAAGTTAAAGTCGAAACAAAATCCTCCGTAGGAGAGGAAAAGTGAGCTGGGGTGAGAAAAGGCACGTACACTCTTGTTCACTCACTTGAGTAACAAAAGAAATTGGATAAAACACAATGTTTTACTGCAGCCACGATATGTTGCCCTGTACACATGCCTACATACGTGTGCATACGTCTATATATAGCTCCACAAACAACTAACTGTTGTCCTACGGAGAACAACCTTGCAGGTTTTCCCTACAAAAAATATGTATCACGCAAAAATATCATAATCCGCTCAATTGGTTACAAAAATGTAGACTGTTTCAACATTAGCTGCACATACATGAAGTCATCATCCGGGAAAAAACTGCTGAAATTTAGTAAAAAAAAAAAGTGTTTCTCAAGTTGCAAGATATGAATGACTACATAAACTCGTTCAATTCTCCTTTCTTTTTTGCTAAAAGTGGAAATTCACTCAAAAATAAATCGAGAAGGCAGCGCGAGGAACTCATCTCCCTTATTAAACTCTCTCCTCGCTAGTACTTTCACTTCTTTTTCCTCCGAAATGAAGAGAGCAACAGCTACCCCGCTTTAGGACCCACCAACTTCTTAACTGGTTCCTTCTTGTGTCTTGTGCAAATAAGGTTTCTTTTGAATTTAGAGACTCCAGAGCAACTTGTTAGCTCTCTCTCTCTCTTTCCCTCTCACTCACTTCCCATTATGTAATCCAATCTACTCTCGCTTGCTCTTTATCCAAGAAAATAAATTCACTTTCTCTCAACGGAGGAGAGGCAGATGTTGGAAAGAAGAGACTCTTTTTTGCCAGAGGAGGAGATACATTACGCTTCCTTCCTCACAGTTTGTGTGAACTGCCCTCCATTCCACAAGGCTGCTGGTCGGTCGTGGTGCATCGCTGTGTGTGTAATATGTGTGCATCCAACACAAGGTCCTTGGGAGGAGGAGGCGGAGAGAGAAATTTCTGGCGGTGGTGGTGTGAAGATATTATCAGTCGAGTATAGTTTAGTGTTCGAGAGAGACTTTACTTGTTACTGTGCGAGACCTGTGGAGCTTTCTTTTCCTTCCGCCAATCTCTAAAACTCCGCCACCACAGAGTCCACCAGTTGACTCGGAATGGCTGAGGCTGAGAAAGGCGAGAGAGAGAAGAAAGAAGGCCGCACTCTTATCTCTCTATGGAACTTATTCCTTCTCTGCAATTGAAGCCGACTCTGGGATGACGACGATGATGGTGGGTAGTTCGAGGGCCAAACTAAACCTTGGGGGGATCATTCACAAATTTAGAGCCTGTATTTACCCAGGGTTAGTTCAACCTCAGATTTTGGTCGCTACTTGTTACTTGTAAATTTGGCCCTCCGTCCGTCCGTGTGAGCAACCCGGAGAATTATATTGCTCAAAACGACGAACATCTCCAGCAGCACACTTTTTACGGCTTCCTCGTTTTCCTTCTTTATGAGGTTTTTCAACAGACTGCTCCTTTCACCACCACGCAAAATTCCTTCACTCGCTCTCACACAGTAAAAAAATTTATGAAACACACACATATTATTTTCCATGTCAAAATAAACATTTCTGAATTTATTCTTATAAATTTCAAAACAATGTATGTACATATCCACGTAGGTAGGCTACGAGTCTTTTGTTGCCTTGGCTTGTACATGCATCCACGTAACGACGGCTCTTCCTTTGTACACGCGGCGTGGAGACAGTGCATTTCTTGTTTCTTGGGAGCATAATAAAATACAGGGAGCGAGGTAGGAGCAGAACATTAGCCCAGCTTAAAGGTCTCCTGCTGCTGCTGCTCCGTTATTTTAATCTGGGAATGGATTGGCCAAGATGACAACTTCATCCTCAAATATCTCACCAACTAAATGCCCACTCTACGAAGCACTCTCTCCTATTTTTCTTGCGGGGAAAGTCCATCCACATTTTCACTGCTTTCTTCCTCCTTCGCGGCACATTATCCATTTCCATAATGCACATGAACGTTCCCATAGCAAGCCCACAGAGCCATTGGATTTGAACGGGTAGAACTCTGTGCTCGTTCTCTTCCACCACATTTACGACACGATATTTGCCACAATTATTCAACAGCTAGCTGGAAGAGCAATAGTGATGCAGTGCCAAAAGCTTTCCTCCTCTCATACTCCTCTTGAAACACAGAGTTCATCTTGGCCATATTATTATGCTCTCGGTGGGGGGCCTTCACCACCACGGGATGAAATTATCCCTCGTAAAATATAAAATAAAATGTGGTGCTAAAATCTTCCCAGGAAAGGGAAAGCAGGAGGGAAAAAGCAACAGAGGACAGAATGGCAGTAGCAGCAGTTCAATGCAGCATTATAGCAGCGCTAGTCCTCACCGAATAAAATACATAAATAAGTAAAGACTTTGGATAATGAAGTGCAGTTGGGTCGCAGCTTGGCGGAGTTCTCTCGTCGACGACCAACCAGCTCGTTGTCGAATTGACTGACTTTTGCAGGAGACCAGGCAACAAATGGACATGCAAATCAATCCATTGTCACCAACCAACGAACGAACGCACCAGTGGTGGCTCATTTATTCTCAAAAAGCTGAAAGTGAACACGCAATGATGTCGGCATGCTTTCTCCTTTCCGCCACAAAATGAATAAAATAATCTTATATCGGAGAGGAGTTGCTGGTTAAATGGATTGACAATTTTGTTTTTAAATTCGTCGCATACAAAATGAGAGAAAGGAAGGCGAGCCGGAGATAGCAAAGTTAATGAATTGTAGTCCAACACGACACTTTACTTTACTTTCTGTTACGGCTGAATTCAACCCTTTTCACAGTATTTTTATCAATCGTGTTTCATTTTACTTTTCAGATTTTGTCCGAGCGCAGCAGAGGATTAGCAGAAATCAGTCATTTCCAGCCAGAAACACCCCCAGCGAGGCTCCCTCTTCAATGAGTTGATTCGTAAGAAATTTAACCTTCTGGTCACCTAAACCTAACTACTTGCATAGCGTATGAAAACCTCGATTATTCCTCATCTTCAACTGGTGTGCATGTACATTGTCTTTTGCATAATAGTAAAAATATAATATTCCATTTACGAGGAAAGAAGTCATTTGCGCTGCCCAGCAGACAGTGCATATTCCATTCGAATGGAAACGAGTCCATTGCGGCGAATAAATATTTTTTTAAGTTAGTCAACATTACATGGTTATTTTATAGGAATTTTTAATTTAGATTGTTGTTTTAGCATAACGTCGGACGTATTTTAAGTTCATTTCCTCACGAGGACGGGTAAAATAAGCCAGAACTTGGTTTCAGTTTGAGCAAGTGCATGCATACGCGAGGTGGCATAATATGTAGAATATGCCTCAAAATCTAGCAATCATCCAACCACCATTAAATGGTCCCCTGAAGTAATGGTGTTTGCCATTTCGCAACCCATAAACTCGGCAAACGGACCATGTCTGCCGTACTGCGTTGGATTGAACCAACAACAAACAGCAATTACAAAACCGGAGCGATTAGATTGGCGTAAATTTAGACTCGATTATAATTATCCTAATAAATTGGGTCGTGATATAAGAAATGTAGTCTTTTGCACCACGAAATAACAAACTCCCACTGCTGATACTGTATGATTAATATTAATTCCATAACTCCGTCTGCTCTTGACACTTTGATTACTCCAAATGCCCACAATCATCCATCCCACCACCAACCAACCCGGCTGCTAATTGCCCATTTCCTCTGATTTATTAGAAGAGCCCACCCTTTGCAATTATCTTTCCTTCCTTGCATGCATCCTACACCCGACATGGAATTTAAACATAAATAAATAATAGAAATATTTGCCAATTTGTGCGGATGCGTCGTTAACGAACGTTGAAATGAAATGCATAGAAAACCATTTTTGGTGGAAATTTATCATTTCAAAAGTCATTTTGCAACACACAATGAGAATTCCATTTAACGTAAGCAATAACTACTTGGCGTTCAACGAAAGCAATAAAGTCGCCAAATGTGCAGCGTTTCGTCCACAACGAATAAAACTTACCCTCTAAGCTCTACTAGCATTGGTAGGAAACTTGAACATATCACACAGCAACTTAGCAATACGAAGCAATAAAATATATTATAATAGAGATTTTATTATTATACTATAGATAAATTAAACTACTAATTACACCATTAAATTAGACTATTAACTAAATGCGTAAGTTACGGAGAAAGCAAGAAGAAGGGAGTGAAAGCTCTAGTCAAAACTAGTATGCGAAATGGAAATGTGCAGCATTTTTAAAGGAAAATTTACACATTGTTACTAAGCATTTCTTCATCTTATGTCCTTGCGTTTTCTGCCTGTTGCACCCAGTAATGATGCCGAGTGGGAAAATGCACTTCATTTTATTTGCCTTATTTTCCAACGGGTTCGCCACGGTTCGTTACCCACATCTCTTTGCATCATCCCTTTGTTCTCTCTTTAGGCTGTGGTGAAAGGTCCCTTTGAACTTTCTCCACACACGAGGCTCCACTCCAATCAATTATTTATTTCTAAGCAACAATATGTGTCCTCCACCTCTCTCTCTCTCGGTGCCATCTCCTCACCATTTTTTCACCTCCCCCGTAAATTTAGAGGGTGCAACGAGGCGGGATAATTCCTGCTATTTGTTATTCCATTTTCATACTCATCTCGTAAGGGAGGACAAATGAAGGACCTTTTTGGCACCACTGTGCTGTTTGCATTTATTTTTCACTCGCTCCCATTTTGTGTGAAGGTGAAATAAGTAAAATTGTTGATTGTGGCGTGTCGGCATTTTTATGTTGTTTTTCTTTTCCTTTTATCAAGGATATGAGCGAGTGCATGAGGGTTGTTGTTTCACTGATGCGAATTCCAGATAAAGCAGCGTGCATACATTTCCAGAATTTCACATTTTGTGTAGACGGAGAAAGATAGTGGTAAAATCGATGTAGTTGAAATATTTTTCGCCTCCAGTCTAAAACTGAGCGACTCGTCGTCGTCGTCGTCGTCGGCTAGTGTTGGTGGTGGCTGTGTACAATATGCATATGTAGCTACATACATACGTACGTAAATGTGACTACCGTGAAAGTGGTGGGGTGCCATACACTTGCATGCCGGAGTACCGCAGAAGGGAAAAGGGGTGTGCAGTGCTAGTTTAGTTTTTACCATTGCTAACTAACCGACTGCTCCAAGTAACTCACACATAATTCACTTAATGGCCAAGTGTCTACGTTAATTGCACCGCAGTTAAATTAAGTCCCTTTATATGCCTAATAAAAAGAGAATATACGTATGTATAACGACACGTGAGGCACAAACATTCCATTAGACAGCCTGCACACACATTTTGCCGTCTTCTTCCGAGGAAATCTAGCAATAAAATCCAATTAATTATTGTGCTAATAAAGATAGCGTAAAGAAATGTAGCGTAGGTAGGCAGGTAGGTAGGAAGAAAGGTATGAAGGTAAATCATAACCAAATTACCAATCATTGATATTACACCAGAACCACCCGTGGTTTATCAAAACTGGCAAATTTATGGCCTTCTTTGTACTTAAAAGAGAAAACACAGTTTTTCACTTATTCCTGTACAAATTTAACAACCTCTTCGTAACTGAATAATCTATCAAACAACTTTATCTTTACTAGATACTATTAACACACAATCTGCTTTCTCTCTAGATTTGGGCATCTTTCGCTCTCTCTCTTTCTCTCTCTTTCTCTGTCTCTCTTCGTATTCTAACTCTTTCTAAGTGTATCATGTACGTAGCAATCTCAAAGTGCCCCTTTCATTGTCTCCCATTTTCTTACCGCTGTCTGGGAATCTTTAAAATCTGTCGGTCGCTTCCTCTGTCTTTATGAATCTCTGACGATACTTTCTCGTAGTCTGTGTTTGTCTGTGTACCAACGGGTCGGCATCTTCTGAATGCGCTTCTTCCTCTTCTTGACTCGTTCTCTTCGTAGCTCTGTTCTCTACTTCCGCTCCCCTTCCACCATTTAAAAATCGTGGTGTCCTTCACACCACGGCCTCTCTTCTCTTTCTCTCTATTTCTGCACTTTCTCTCAGCTTTCTCGCTCTTATGAACCTCAAGTCTAAACTCTTATTCCACTAAAACTCGCTACTGCTCCGCGGTATCACTGCTTAATGGCCCAGCTCCTACTAGATGACTTTCTCTTTCTTTCTAACAAACTCACTCGTCTAAAAACTAACAAGTATTTCTATAAAAAAAAGTTTCCTCAAACTAACCAACCATGCGATTCCTCTAAAGTATTAAAAGCGTAGGGCTTGTCTGTATAGAAACTTTTCTCATAATCTCGAAAACAAGGACAATTTGATGATGATGATCAACTGTTGAGTCTCTGGGTTTTAATTTCTCAGGATTATACCACAATTTGCGGGGATTACCCTTCTTACTTTGAATAGGATTTTCCACCAGTGACGGGTGGGAAGGGCAGAGGCAGCAACGTGTACACTCATCCCCGCTCCTGCTGCTGGATTATTGTCTTTCCATTCGATATTATCTAGCAAACTGTTTAATATTCCTGCAGCAATGTCCTCGCCGAGAAAACCACAGGGCCGACTCAAACCAACAGGCTGTTGTTGTTTACTTCATTAATGCGAACGTCCAAAACTTATATTTCGTATCGTAATAGTCAATAATACGGGTAAAACTAATTATAACACACCTAATAAATAAATAAAGGTAATAAATATATTGAGTAGGAATATGTATCTCTGTTAGTATGTGACACCATTCGAAGGTTCCTCATGTGCCCAACGAATTGTCGACAACTTTCTCTGATCTCAGTAAATTAGATGACAGCTACGTGTGAGATGAAACGGGGGGATTTTCTAAAAATGGGACAAACCTGTTACTCTGCTGCAGCTCTGTCAGTAGATTAGGATAAGAAGCACGTCACAAAATTAAAGTTACAGGTTGATAATTACCCTCCCACAAATTATTCTGAATTGAGTCATTATCAGTTTAGTAATTCATGCATCAGGAATAAAGCTACATGGCTGCGGAATTCTGGCAGAATTGCAATTAGAGGTGTGCATGCGGCTGGGGCTTGCTAACTCATTTTCTCGGTTTGCATTTATCCATCCGGTCTTTTGATTATTGGACTGGAGTGACTTTAGTGGACGTGGAATTGACATGACTTCTCCGTTCTCCTCATGGTCATCTTTAATTCAACGCCTTCAACCTGCCACTGCCACAAACAAAGTTGAAAGAGCTCGGTCTGTATGGCTGTGCATGCAACCTTTCACCTTTCCTTGCTTGCATACAGAGCGATGGGGATGATGATGCAACCGTTCCGCTATTTCTGGATGCAAATTAGAAAATATTGTTTTCCGGAAAACCCTGGTGGAAAACAAAAGTTCTTTTGCTAAGCTTTTGGAACAAAAAGTTCACAATTTGAAAAACTAGCAAAAGTTGGACATAGCAAATATTTAACGCTGGACATTTTATTGTTGTTACGGCTTTCTCTGTCTTGCCACCTGCTGTGCCACTGTAAAACTTTGTATGTAAATTGGGTGGCTATGTTTTACTACTTTTCGTTACAATCAGGTTACATTACATCATCAACTAACAGCCACACCCAACAAAAGGGATGATCACAAAACGAGCAATAAATTGTTTAGGCTGCATTTGTTAGATGAGATTTCAAACGCACTGCAAAGCATATTGTTTTATATATCAGGCTTTCACTTCCGATCGGTTTGGGAGAATGTATTTCATTGGAATTGTGTAGTTTTGCGGATATCCGAGATTTTCCGTGATTATTGATTCTTATTGATTTCGTGGGTTCGGTACTAAAATATTAAATATAGAATGTGCATAAATTGGTCAGTAATTTAGCAATAATTAAGAAATCCACTATACTTCCTCTGGAGCCATACGGCGGACCAGCATTATAGCTATTATGATATGCAAGTTAGATAAGAGAAAAATAGCATAACCAGACGACACACCTCATTCTGCTGTAACTTAGGCAATAATTTGAATCACAATGTTAACATTTATCTGTACTGGTCAGTAATACGACTAAATACGACTACTAACTACTTCCAAATAATAGTAATTTTTCTTAGTCTCGAATTTCTAAGCTAGCATTTTTGAAGTATCCAGATTTAAAAATAGACTAGTTTCACTACCACCAGTACCATCTAAAAACACATTCTTTTAGTTTGGTCTGGAAGGAGTGGCAGTAACACACTTGATGAACTATGCATTCACCTTTAGAAATCTTCCTATAAAATCCCATCAAATATTAATTGGTTTGTGGGGCAGAGAAGGAAAATATTAATTAATTATTTATCTCTCGATGTATGTAACACTGTTGCATAATAACAATTTAGCATAACACATAGTGCATAATATACGCGACATTGATGTTTAAAATCTCAAATATTTTATGACTCAGAGAAGAAGGAGAATATTCACAAGCAATAAAACGTAGGTAGGACCTACACCCATGCACCAAGCAATAAATCAAACGAGCCACGCTGGCTCTGCCTGACTATATGAAACGGTCCTCTAATTAACTAATTATTCCTAACTATCTCAACAAATATAACAACGATAGCAATAAAATTACGATGTAAATATAACTTCAGCAATAAAATACTACTTCCTCAACTCCACATCGAAATGAAGGAACTTGTGTAACTCAAGCAATAATTATTTAGGTGAAAGTAGTTATACAAATGGATCGATTTATTTTACAGTTTCTGAACATTACATGCATTTCACCACAGACGATCCGCACAGGTTGGCAAAATATTTATTCCTAATGCATAACCAAAATTTCCACTCCTCGCTGCGTGTCCTTGCTCAAACACGGTTTCCGACAAACTGCTAATCGACATTTCCTTGTTTTGATAATTTACATTGTCAAAATTTAATATTAACACTGAGACAAACAAAAATCAACTGGTCATTCCAAAAGCAAATAATAAATAACTCTGGTCCCGATATTACTGTTAGCAAACTTTTTGAAAATCACACCATGTCGTCGTAATTTAGCAATAACAAACATTTATTATTATAATAAAGATGAAGAAATGGAAAACGAGCCCCATTTCACTCAATGTTTAATTAAAAGTTGAATGTGCATTTATTATTTCTTGATGTGCGCTTAATGTCTATTTCTTCACGTTGTTGTTAAATGTTACATTAAAAGGATCATGTTTAGTATATGAACATATAGACAGAATATACGTCCTTAGTCCATAGTAAAAATGTCATATTTCTACTGAATGTATGCGGTAGCTAAAAAACTATAAAAATAATAATCTCTCTACACCATCACACACCATCACTCTCTCAATTCGGAACCCCAACTAATCAAAAAATTCTCTAGTTATTAGGATTAGATTCATCGTCTATACTGTATTATGTACGTAGTGTAAAATTAAAACACTGTATTTGCTCAAACAAAAATCAATGGAAAAATCAAAATTAGTAAAAAAAAAAATAATCAGAGAATTAATTGGCATCAATCAAAATAAATAAAGACACTTTAAATTTAGGCGTAGTACAACGCAAATTACTAAATAATTCACTAAATACTAAACATGAGGATGGTTAATGGTAGTAGCAAATAAGTAACAACAACAGCAGCAGCAATAAAAAAGAACAAAAATTATTATGGTGCGTGCAAGTTCGACTTGCCACAACGAATCAATAATTGATTGGCATTTATTCTATTAAAAATTGTGTCTATATATGAATGTGGCTTAATGTATAAACTTTTCGTGTGCATCATTTGTTCAAAACCTCAAAATTTCCATACATAATTCGAACTATTGTAAACAATTTAATTATTTCGCAAATATGAATTGAATACCTAGTCGAACACACTGGTCTAGTTTGGTAGAGTAGAACTGTGCGTAGATGATTGTTCCAGTAAATAAATACATACATACAAAATTGACGTTATCATAGTGTTGAATGTAAAGCTGTAAATTATAAACGTTGTTGAATTATTGTACTATAATGTTGTAAGTATTTGTGTGTTGTTGTACTGTCCACTTATTTTCTTATGATAAATAAAAGTTTGGGTAAAAGTTTGACCAAGTCTTCTTTTCGACCATTTATTATTTTTATAAAGTATTCCCCGTAATTTTAGCAATACATCAAAATAATAACGAGTTTTTCTGGAAGAAATAATGTGTTCATATCCTCTCACGGCGGTGCAGACGTACGTGGGAGCAGGCTGTGGAGGCAGGTTCCATTTTTATTATTTTTATGTGTTTTCTTTCTCTTACGTGAAGCAATTCGGGGGAAGCAAAGGGAGAAAACTAAGAATGACCATTATTAATAAAGAAGGTGGATTGGAGCTGTGCGGAGCAAATTTGGTGATTTTTATGAGCTGATGGACTTGACGATAGGATTTCGTGATGTGGGGCCATTTTCCCAATCCGAATAAAATGGACCTCCCACCATCTATTGTGTGCATGCAGGATTCCTACGATTATTGCGTCAGTTAAAAAAATCTAGTCCTGATTTTTTCCCTACGAGATATTCCCCCGTTTCTTTCCCAAAATCACAATTACACATTTCTCTTTGTTTTACACAATCACCCATTATTATTATATGACTAATCGTACTTTTTGCACTTACATAACAATAACTACCCCCGGAAATGTTACGCCGTTAGGCTCTCCTCGGTCCTGGGTGTGTAGGCTATGACATGACTGGTGCTGCATACGCCGTGTGTATGCTGCACAGGCTTGCATAGGGTTTTCTATTCTGAGATTACATTGGACAAATTGCAGAGAGCTGGGTGAACTTTTCCTCCGGAGGAACGCGTCGTACGTATGTCGAAGGAAAGAAAAGGAATTGAATGGACGGAGAAAAATGGGCCGATGGAGCCGACATTAATTTTGATTTAATTTTGGAATTGGCCGGTTAGAAGAGTAAGCAATAAAAGAACTTGTGGCTTGCTCCTGCCGTCAGCCAGACTCTGCTCCTGCCTGTTTTCACAAAGATTTCCCCCAAAAAATCAACTGGTTTTGCTGCTCTCGAATCCAGCCCATGACTTGCTCACAAAGCAATAAAGTTGGATGGACGCAACCACGCAGCAGAGCTATATTCACATAACACAACACAAAGTAAATGGAGAAAGTAAGCTTGGGCGTTTCCGTATTCGGCATGCGATTCTCAGAATTTTTCTTCATTCTTTATGACTAAATATCGACAATCTCTACATGCAACACACTAATCACTCTTATCTTATTCTCCGTTCTGCCAAAGAAAAATCCAAGTTGGGCTAAAAACAGCCAGCGAGAGAAAGAAGGTACGCTCATTGAAGGACATTTCTACAAAAAACGAGGTGAACGTGCTACGTACATACGTACGTACGTACATACAGTGGTATATGTACATACATGAAGCGATACTGTTGTGTCTATCCTCATATTTGATATATATTTTTTAGACTTTCCATTTTTCAGAATTCTCGTCCAGAATTTCAACTCGCTCTCATTTGTGTCCACACTCGATCGCTCTCCTTCTTGAATAGAAAGATAATTGGCTGGTGCATTAAGCTAATCGGTTTCATTCATTGATTCTACTTCACTCAATGCGGCTCGTCCTGGATGGATACGTGGTGCATGCATGTGAATTGAATGGATGGATAAATGACACATTATTGAGAGATTGAGAGATGGGGGAACGAAGTCGAATTGTTCAAGAGTGGAAATCGATGAGGGGATTTAATGGACTCGTCACTCAAATCATCTCCTGGCTTTCTCCAACAAATGGTCACCTTGCATCGGAATAATGCATGTGTGCTATAATTCGTCTTTATGCAATGGGTTTGACGAGCCCCGTCATGACTATTTTATTTGCCGTCGAAGGAGATAAGCCTAATTCAGATAAGCACTCTGCATTCTTATTCCGAGTAAATAGAAAAAATAATGTTTTGTATGTTCTTGAATTGCCGAATTAAATTAGAACTGATCTCTCCAACTTTGTCTGTGCATTCGATACTGAGGATACTGTAGCCATATAAGTGCACATATACGTAGCCACACCATCCACCACCACCACATCGTATACCGCTCCCCACTTTCCCTCCCGGGAGACTTGTCGAGTCTGGAGTGCTGCTTAATTAAAACACATTTCGTGCATTAGCCACCTTTCCCAAGAATCAACACGTGAAGTAGAAAAAAACGAGGGGATAATTGGTCTCAGCAGGACTCCATCCAAAAAATTAACGCAATCAGCTCAAACTCCTCACATACATGCCCGCATGTCCACCAGTTTCAGCAATAATGGGCCAACCAGCTTGTGTATAACAATCAGTTCAAACGAGTGCGCATGGAAATGCTGCACTTGTACCGGTCTCCAGTACAAATATTGAACCAGTTTTTTCTACAAAGAGAAGCAATAATTAGTTACAAATATTTCCTAGTCTTCAAGGATATCTTAGAGTTCTGTAAGTTTTGCTGGAGAAAGCAACCTTGGTGGATCGCAATCAATCTTGTTGGTGAGGGCGCCTGATGTAAGCGTATAGCCAAGCAACAACTGGAATGTCGAATTGTTGCGCTTTCTCCTTCTCATGAAAAGATAACATCCAATCCAGAAAATAGGGTTTTGTTGTTGTTGGACGGCATCCGCGGAACTGTTGATTGCTCATCCAACTTTCATGCCTCTGTTTCCTCTCCCAGTCCCACTTTTTCCTCGATTACGTATGTAAAATAAGGAGAAAGTGGGCACAGGGAGTGAAATGTGTCTGCAATTAAACGCTCTCTCCCCACCACGACCAGGGCGGCATTCCCGTTCGCCTGGTCGTCGGTGTGCGATAAAAGTAAAAAAGGAGCAACAGAAGCAACAAAACAAGTCGTCTGTATCACTCATCAACGAAGCAGCAGGCGCTTTTCTCTCCTCAACTATTTATGAACCACCACCGGCTCACATCCTGAACCAAGCAGCCAACAAACCCACAATTAAAGGAGTCAGAGAGGACCATCCACATAGTCAAAATCTGGAACAATATCACACAATTTTTCATAGATTTTTTTTCCTACAGGTCATTTCCCATATATAAAACAAATCATTAACTGTTTGTCAATTTTACACCTAAGAAAACACCAGTTTCTTCTAAAGCTTGTACTAAACATGATGCACATTTTTATTTGCATTCGTGAGTTCAGAAAATATGTCTCTTAACATTTTTTCTTGTTTAACTACATTCTCGACGCGTGTTTCCCTCCTCGTTGTTTTCCCAAAATGCAGTTGGGTGCAGATAACGGGACCCGGAGTGTGCATGTAATAGCAGCTCATGGTTCTGCCGAGTATGCAGGAGACTGCTTTCTCCGGCTGGTGCATGGTGGGGGTGGCCATAAATAATGTGTGACTCTGGCTTTTAATTGTGTTTTTAATGAGAAAAAGCTCGACTGCTGCAGAGTTGAATTATTTCTTTCCTCTTTTATGAATAAGTAAAGAAAAGAAGTCGTGGTGATGGTGGTTGTTGGTCCCAGGCACACTTTTGCCTCCTTACGATGCCGAAGCAACAGTTAATAAAACTGCTGCCATGCATCCTCACATCATACTACGAGTCGAGTCAAGTGCTATTTGCGTACTAAATGAGAAGGCAGCTTAATTACTCCCTAATCACCACCAACAGGCAGCAACTCTGGGACGAAGAAAGGCTACGCACGCAACACAAGAAAGTGCAACATGCATACGTAAAACACCAGCCGAGGCTTCAGTGTCGGGTAGCACACTTAAACCGACTACCATGACGAGCAAGTGAATATTATATGCAAAGTGCTACTGGGTAATTTAGCAGATGAAAGAATGTCAGGTGAAAATCGTACAATTTTATAGCTTCCGAAATAAAAAGTGTGGGGAAATTTGGATTGCATTAGAGTTGTTCATACGTATGTATGTACCTACTCGATATGGTTTCTCCATTTTATAGGCAGGAAGGAAGCCGGGCATTATTATTTGCAACCATCTGAAAGCCCACCGCCACCTGATTTGCGTTTTACTCTCTTTTTTGGCTGCCTTTGTGCAATGTGGAAGTGTGGAAATGTGGCTGAAGCTGATTGAAGTAAATTCCACAGAAGATTGGATTTTTAGGGAGATGGGATTGTCTTGGCTGACTTTCTCCATCTCTCACACGAACACGTATCCTTCCGCAGTGCAGGGCGCAGAGGGAGTTTAATGGGCTCCAGCAGTTGTTGTCAGTTCATTTGATTTCCTCCAGATTAGAGGAGCGATGAGATGAGATCCAAGTTATTATGGGGACATTAAGTCCTTTACAGGTTTACCTACGTGTGACTGGCTGACTAACTCCTCTCCTCCACGGCCTCGTTCAACAGGAAAACCTCTCCAAACCCAACCGAGTAGAATATGTACATCTGCATGTTCACTTCTCGGGCTCGTTTTAAAAGCCCATCTTTTCCTACGCGAGGAGAAAGTCACAGGTTGCATTGGAACCAAGTTCGCCGTTTCTTCGATTTTACATTTTATTTATCTCTGTGGAATAATGGGAGAAGGGATTAACTTTAATTTTGCCTTATCCTCCTACAAGGAATTATCACGGAAAAAGTGAAAGTAAAACCCTCGAAATGGAAATTTCCTTTTCTCGCTCCTCTCGCCAAGTAGCTGCGAGATTGTTTTATTTCACGGAGTCTTATTCACTCTGCCACTTGGATTTGGTGATTGGGAGAAAGTGGTGCTGGGCTGGGCGAGAGGAGGAGGAGGAAGGAAGGAAGAAGATGGAAATTAATTTATCCAAATCAGTCTCTCTCCCCTCCACTAATCCCCAAAACTAACGGTAAGACGGGGACTAACAGCTCCAAGCAGACCAAACTTACTGGGTGAACGAACAGAGAGCAAGTTTGGCAGTTCGTAATCTCATTGCAGGAATTGGGTTGTCAGCCGGGTGACCCATGGAAAACGAGACAAATGTCGCTCGTAAACTATGCATTTGCTCACAATGTGTACATATATGCGTTCGCGGATACATATTTATGCACATTTCTGAAATTATGCAAGAAATATTGGATGCCAAAATAATTGTTATTATGAAGGTAATTACTTTTAGCGATAAAAATCGCATTAATTTTCAAAAACTGCTAACCTCGAAGCGCATTATGTAGACGAACCGCTCTAAACTAGCCCGACCAAGGTTGACCAATTACCAATATTTATCATCACATGAGTCATCCTCGCATTGAAAATGACTTCATTGTGTTGCTTAAGCTGAACCCAATCTACATACACAGCACAAATACTTTGTTTTATCGAAACATGTATTCCACGTCCCAAAAATTGCAATCATTTTAAAAACATTACAAAATTTTGTTTCCTCTCCAGAAAACTATTATTCAGATTGCTTTGTCACCACTGCGATCGGCATAGCAGATTTCTTCATTAACATGCATTCTATTTAATGGAAAGTAACAAAGCCATTAGTTTTAATTGTAGTGTTGATGTCGTGATTACCATCGTGATGTTCCAATGTAATTTGAATACTATTTGGTTGTTGCATGTTAGAAAGCAATAAAGTTTTCGTGTGATTTAACACTTGCTCAGCAAACATTAGCAAATGTCCTCTCCTGTGTCCACGTCATTCGTCCCAGGCTACCAAACCATTGTCATAGCAGAAACTTTTATTCTCCCATTTCTTCGCCACCCCCTTCCACCACCTTTGTTCGACTCGACGGGAAGACGATAATTTCATGCGCGCATACATCCACACGTAAACACAACCCTGCCTGCCTGCAAAACACCTTGTGTGGAACTGCAATTAATCTGCATCGTTATTAGTTCAGAACCAGTATAAAAACTGGGCTGCCCACTGTTGAACGGTACACACATTCTCCACAAGCATAAACAATCACCCCTCCAAACCAATTAACCAGTAAGTTTTTAAGAAATCTAAACTTCAGGTTCAGAATTATTTTTTAATAATTTGTTTATTTCCTAATTTCAGTAATCAACATGAAATCCTTCTTCGCCATTGCCGTCATCGTCGCCTGCTTGGCAGTTACCATTCAAGCGGCCACATTTGGAGGGGCGTGCTCCCATTCGGGTGTCCAAAATCAGGACGATTCCCAATGTTCCGGAGTCAACAATAACATGCTCTGTGGAACTGGAAACAAGTGCGTGTGTGCCGACACATATGGACTTTCAGGAAAATTCACGCCAAAAGCTGATGGCACTGGATGCAGTCCCGCTTAATAAATGACTTATTGTTGGTTGCGACCTAATTTATTCCCTGGTACACAATTTCCCTCCGTATCAAATACATATCTGCCCGATTTCCAGGTTAAATTGTTTTCAGCATTGGCTTTCTTGAACTGAAATAAAATTTTGATTTTGTGCTGCAATAATTTCCTCCGAAGGGAACACCTTGTATAAAATTTCTCCAATGGTGGAAGTAAGCCGCTTTGTTTAATCCGTGGTAATGGCATTCTGTCCGAGGGCAAATAGTTACAGGGAAACAAATGCTGGTTGTCACCCACCCGGGACTGACATCAATTCCCCACCCAACCTGCAAATCATATTTATCACCACACACATACATTTCTCTGTCCGTCCCAATGTTCGCACCAGAAAAGGTCGTGGCATCTAATCGGAAAAATCATTACTTGCAAACTCTTGACTCTAATCTAAAATCGGAAAATAAACACGGGAGGAGTTCTGCAGAAAATTTAATGTTTTTAAATAAGCTCTCCCACAGTTTTGATTTCCTGTGGGGAACATAATGAAAATAGACAGGACAGGGTTAGGTTATGGAATTGGAACCAACATACGAGCCCATGCACCACCACACGAATAAATGGGAGCACAAGTCACTCTGCAAGAAAAATAAAGAACATCCTCCTCCTCTCGTACACTGCACTACGTATATTTCTACCCACCATGGGAGGTCGACCAGCAGCATATGTATGTGTACCTATAAGGGCTTAAAGGGGCAAGAAGTTTGGAAATTTTGAAAAAAATGTGTAGGAAATCGGAAATCTCAGAAAATGTGTGCACGCCCCGATCTCATTCGTACAAGTGTTTTTTGTGCTTGTGTTACACGGAGAGAAATGGTCTGGTCCGGACATAACCACATATCTGCCTTCCTCCAGACTTGGAGTTTAAAAATGCATGTGAAAGGAAGGATGGATTACAGGGAGTAAAACTCTTAAAATCTTAAACTTTTCTTGTGAAGAAAAAAAGTTTGAATACGATATTTTGAAAACTTTACCCATTCACATTTCACCTCAGAAACTTAGCTCTGGTGACTTGATCTCATCCCACTAGGCTCGACCCAAGGTGAAAGGTGGACCCAAAGTTTACATACATGTTCGTCGCTATCATTTATTCCAGGGAAATCAAAATTTGATAATAAAATAAAATTGCGTGGGGCCTTATAATACATAAAAAGGGACCGTGCACACACCATATCCTCCTCGCTCCGAGGAATCAATAATTGATTGCAGAAGCCTGAGAATATTTGTAGTTTTCTCAAGTATTCCATTTATAATGGGCCACCTGAACGTGAAGGAGGTGCTGATGATGGGACGATAGACTTGAAAATTGGGATTTGCTCGCTCCTGCTGGATTCCACATTTCCAGAAAAAAAAGATGGATAGACAGCAAAGTTGAAGTTGGAGAGACCAGTAGAAGAGGATCCTCTCCTCCTCATCATATCCATCCAATCCAAGCCCCACAGGTATTCGATTTAAGAAATGTATAAGAATAATGCTCCCGGCGGTTGTTGCGCTCCGTCCTTCTCCAATTCTCCATCTGTAGAATTTAGAAATTCCTGCAAGCATTTTGATCCTTGTCTATCTTAAGGTTGAAAATGGGATAGCAAAGTGGACAATTTTTTTTCGAGTTGGGTTTGGGGAAATGTGAGAAAGTATGGAGTGAAACACTGGTATTAATAATATCTTAATCAATTCTGCATAGATTTCTATCCTCTCTTTTGTAAGAAATGAATGGATCTTAACAAGCTTTCTATCAGCCTGTGGCATCATATTTGCACCAGAGTTTTTGGTGTGGTTTGGGAAAAGTATGGATTTATTTTATGGATTGGCCTCCCGCTATCCACCCAAGTAAATGTTCATTTTGTGAAGATTCGTATTCCAGAAGCGTGTGAAGGTGAGCACGTTTATCGCTAAAGCTAGGAAAACCCGCAGGCAGGCACACCAACCAACCAAACTTTCTCTCCCCTTCCTCACAATTCCAATCGAAACAAAATTGAGAAAAAGTTGCCCTCTCTCACTCTTTTTCCCTCTAATAGAAGATCGCTCCCGACGTCCAACTCTTCCCAGTTTTATCAAATATTCCCGAATTTCCAAGATATTATGAATTTTTTGGGATTTACGTGCAACTTTTTCTAGTCAAATATCTCCCAACTGATTCTACACACATATTATGAGACTACTCTGCGTATAAGCTCCTCTTGTGCTGCACGGACATTACGTATGGTCTCCCACATATCCCAGCGGGGATAGTCTCTGATCTGGACGGTGCTATGATTAAGGCCAACATTCAGATTTACACCACCACGGAAATTCAGGGGGGTTTTTGAGTATAATCGGCTTGTGGTTGTGGGCAAAACCTCTATTTTATCAGCCACTGTAAAAACAAGGATTCGGACACTGTTCTAGACAGCCACATTTTTCATTCCTGGTAATTACTCCACCAAAGTATGGTCTCTCTCTCTCTCTCTTTCTGAATACGAGAGTCGTGTTCTTGGGCAATTTGCATTTTCCTCTCTCTCTTCCACCAACCTGCAGGTATGTAAATACATACGTATTACCCCATAACTAAACACGGACAGTGACAAAAGTTCACCAGTTTAATCACAACCTCTCCACTCCACAAATATTGCTTTTCTTAACTCACACTTTGGAACCTACTTTCCAAGTATTTGTAGTCGAGTCAAAAATAAATATTTGCTCAGCCAGCAACTCAACAACCAAACTTTCTCCTTTTAGCAGCGCCATATAAGTCAGCCAGCAGAGGAGGAAGTGAGGAGGCGAGGTTCCTCCAGTCGCTCTTGTCCCTGCCTCACAGTTTTAATAAAGTTGTGATATTATGCGTATGCATGGAAGCATGTGTGTGGTGGGAGTAGCCTTGAGTGGTAATAATGAGGACTTACTGCCGCCTCGATGGACTCAATAAGCAAGTCTCGAGTGCAGCAAAACAACCTCCCCACAAAGATATTAAGAAACTGCGGGTCAAATCCTAACACGATATCCCACACTCCATCCCAACTCCTTTCCCTCCGCAAAATTAAGCTAATCCTCTCGCCCCTGTTTTACGTCGCCACTTTTGTAGTGCAGATTATTTTTGGAATATTTTCACCAAATAAATACTTTATGCTTGATAAAAAGGAAATTCATTCAATTTGGCAGTAATTGCCTTCACATTTACTAAAAATGGACATTAATCAAGGAATCGTTTGAAATGCGGGCGTAAAGAAATGTAGTTTGCGTTCTTTAAAAATCATCGAGTCTTTGAAATTTTGAATTTATTCAACTTTAGAAAAAGTAAAGTAATTTTGACTTTCTTTTACTTTCTCCCCGTTGCTGGAGCCACCGCGAGCATGATTCAGCACAACCACATCTGTTCCTCTTCCTTGTGGCTGATTAACATGAGTAATTTGCTTTCCCTCATGGTGTGTGGTGGTGGTCGTGGTGGTGGTTCCTCCGCAACACAGCTTCTTTCTCCCCGCTTGCTCCTGGTTGGCAATTAAGATTCCTCTCGTAATAATTTCGAGAAGGGACAAAAGCAGAAAGTTGTGGCGTGGAACGGAATAATGAGTAACTCGTTATTAAGGGCCCAAGACCCGCTCCGCTTCTCCAAACTCCAAAAGAACTTTAATGAAAGCAAAGCAAAGCACCAAAGTCAAGACTGGAGAGACCAGATTCCTAGAGATTAAATAAATGAAGAAAATGAAGCCAATTTTATATTGGGGGCGAGAAGGGAAGGCAGAAGCGTAATGAGAGAGGAATTGGATAAATCAGACCGAAATTATCAAACTAGAAGAAAATATTTCCACTATTTTCTCCATAAAGAGAAGAACGAGAGGGAGAGAGAGAGTTTACAAGAAGAAATAAAAACGCAACCATTTCTCACGTAGTTTGACTGACAAATTTGGGATATTTTGTCCATTCCAGCGAACGTGACATGCTTCACTATCTCATAAGCAATGTTTATTTCCTCCCATCAGTTGGTGGTTGTAGGTAGTAATTCTGGTTGAAATTGTTGACTGGTCTTGGATATGTGATTACTTTACTCCTCCTTTACTCCCATTGACGACTTGCAACTCCCTCACACACCAAGTGTGGTCTGACATGCAAATTGCTGAAAAGAAACAGGGTGACACTGCCTGCCACCGGGGCGAACACCCACCGCGATCTCAATCGCAGAATTATTACACAGACGAGGTGGCGAAAGTAAATGGCGAGTGAAAGGACACGTGACATCCAGTTTGGTCCCTTGCTCTGTTTTATGCACAGTTTCGATTTAAATATCACCATTTAGAGATTATCAGACCCAGAAATAAATAAATAATTGCTTTTTATACATGAAGTCATTATCTTCTGTGGGCTTTGTTACTTTTCTTTATTTATTTTGGAGATACGATTTTGCAGAGATAAACGTCGGATTGGAATGCACACAAGGAGCTAGTTGATAACGTGATTGCCATCACTAAAGTCAACTTGAATCCGATTTCTTGCTGAGCTTGAGCTGATCTTCAATCCATAATAATGGGATGGACTCGACCAAGTCAAGAAGGATTGGATGGACGTCCTATTATAATAAAGCCCCTTCGGACGACCGGCGGACTCCATGCTCCTTTCTCTAACACTGGCCACTGAGCTGGACTCCTGTGGGGGAAGTCAAAGGGTGGAAGAAAAAAGAAGGTGCCTATTGTCCGTCTTTTAATCCCCTAATGGTCTCTAACTCACTCCAATCCAATCATGAGATTCCTGACCATCAGTGAAAAAGAAGAAGAAGAAAGCAACAAACTTTACGCAAAAATTCAAACAATTCGTTCCTGAGGGGGAAATGTATTTTAGCAATTTAGCCGTGTTTCCGGGCACAATTAATACTCGTTGTCGGGAGCAATTGCATAATATTGGTGAAAGCATTAGAAGGCGACAATTTGAACTAATAAAAGCAATTTGCCAAAGTGTGCTTAAGCCGGTGTGACCCTCAGCTAAAGACCCACCTCGCCAAAGGATCTTCTTACAAGATAACGTTTCATTAGAACAAATTAGATGAGCGCGTCGTGTTGCTGAAGCGGTACTTTTCTTTATTTGCATTGCCATGTTTGGTGGCCACGACGGTGGTGGTGGTGTCTGGTCCAGTGTACACATCCTTG